CCGTCTCTCCGTCGGCCTAGCTGCCCCCTCTGGCCTGGGGGACCCAGCCCCCCGGGAGGGCAGGCGGGAGGGGCGGTCCCGCCCCCGCCCGCCCCTGGCTGACGGGCGGCCTCTCCTGCTGTAGGCTACCACAGCGGCAGCTACAGCCCTGACGGGGTGGAGCCCGTCAGCCCCGTGAGCTCGCCCAGCCTGACCCACGACAAGGAGCTCCCCAGGCACCTCGAGGAGCTCGACAAGAGCCCCCTGGAGGGGGGCCTCCGGCACAAGCAGCCAGGTAGGCCCGCCCCACCCCAGCCCTGCGAGGTAGGGGCGGTCGCTGCCCGGCACACAGGTGGGAAAGCCGAGGCACCAGAGGTGGAGGAGTTGGCCGGCCCCATAGCTCAGAGGGCAGCTGGCCCTCGGGACAGGAGGGAAGCCCCGGCCAGGCCCCCGCCTTGCCTGCCCCCCCGCAGCCTGACCCGCTCTGCTCTGCCCGCAGGCCCCGGGAAGCTTGGCGGCGAGGCTGCTCACCTCCCGCACCTGCGGCCGCTGCCTGAGAGCCAGCCCTCGTCCAGCCCGCTGCTCCAGACCGCCCCGGGGGTCAAAGGTCACCAGCGGGTGGTCACCCTGGCACAGCACATCAGTGTAACTACCCCTCCTCTGCCCCTGCTCGTCAGCTCTGCACTGGGCGGGACCAGGCCCCAGGAAGGGACGGTCACACGCAGCCCCTTTGGGGTGGTGGGTAAACTGAGTCTGGTGGGGTGGTCTGGGGATCCGGGGGTTGGCGAGGACAAGCAACGAAGCCACGCCCGGTGTCCTGGAGCCTCCCCTCACCCAGCCGATGGAGGCTCGGGCCCTCGAGCCCGAGATCCGGGTGCCACGTAGGCCAGCTGGTGGAACCCCACCCACCTCTGGCCGAGGCCCCCACCCCATGCATGCGGGGCCATGGGGGCTGCTGTGGGCAGGCCCAAGGCGTACGGGGAGCCAGGAACCGAGTTGGGTTCTGCCCTCAAGGCTCAGTCTAGCCCTCATCCTATCCGGAAGGTTCTGGTCTGGCTGCCTCCTGACCTGCGCCTCTCCCCTGACCCTTGGCCCACAGGAGGTCATCACGCAGGACTACACACGGCACCACCCGCAGCAGCTCAACACGCCTGTCCCTGCCCCCCTGTACTCCTTCCCCGGAGCCAGCTGCCCCGTCCTGGACCTGCGCCGCCCGCCTAGCGACCTCTACCTCCCGCCCCCCGACCACGGCGCTCCAGCCCGTGGCTCCCCCCACAGCGAGGGGGGCAAGAGGTGAGCACGGGGGGTGGGGACCCCTGGCCGGTCAGCCACCGGGAGGCCTTCATCGGGAGGGTTGAGCTCAGCAAGGTGCAGGGCCCGCTGCTGCCATCACACAGAGGGGAAACTGAGGCACGGGAGGTAGGGGAGTCTGCTCGAGGTCACGGCGCCAGTGGATAACAGCTGACACTTTATTACACTTGCTGGGTTCTAGACACCGAGCTGAAACCTTGACACACATTAGCCAGGGTTCTCACCCAGCCCCAGGGAGTACAGGCAGCGTCGTCCCCATCTCACAGATGGAACAACTGAGGGTGCAGGTGTGAGCGCACTTGCCCACAGGGACACCACCCACGCGGGGCGGAGCTGGGATGGGAACCAGAGCTCGTGCTTGGAGAGCAGGCACACACTCACCCCTGGTGACCCTGGGGGCCCGGGGTCGGAGAGGAGAGGGGAGAGGAGGCCCTGGCTCAGGTTGAAGGGGGCCGTTCCGGGTGGGGGCTCCGCGTGAGTGAGGCGTAGAGGCAGGAAGACAGCACCCGTCTTTGGGGGATGGGGTACCTGGCATGGGGGTGCAGCAGGGGTCAACACTGCTGGCCCCGGCCTGTGTTTGCACCGTCCACGAGCTAACGGTGGTTTACGTTTTTAAAGGATTGTAAAAAAAAAAGGAGACTATACAGCAGAGACCACAGGTGGCCCACCACCACCCCTAAAACATTTACCATCGGCCCTTTCCAGGAAAAACGTGCTGAGCCCTGGTTAGAGGGAGGCAGGGCTGGGAGTGGGAGTGGAGGGAGAGCTCTGACCACAGCTGGGACCCTCTCTCCACCAAGGTCTCCAGAGCCAAGCAAGACGTCGGCCCTGGGCAGCGGTGAGGATGGTATCGAACCCGTGTCCCCACCGGAGGGCATGGGAGAGCCCGGGCATCCCCGGAGCGCTATGTACTCGCTGCTGTACCGGGACGGGGAGCAGGCGGAGTCCAGGTACCTCATGGCACACCCGCCGCCCCCCATATTCCCCCATGGCCTCGGCCCACCGCTGTGCAGTTGGGAGGTTGACAAGGGCTTCAGTGTACAGTTGGGAGACCCCCAGATGTGCTAAGCAAATGTCACAAACTTGGGGGACCTCGGTGGCAGCTCCGTGCCTCAGGCTGGGGTCTCTGTTGCCGGTACTTGCTGAGGACCTGAGAAGTAATGAGCTAAATGTGCTGGACCAAGCGGGGGCTCAGGGGTGGGGGTGGAGGCAGAGTAAACAGCCAGGCCCACTGGCTTTGGGGAGAGACATGGTCTGAGCCCGCCTCCGGTTCCCGAGGCCCTCTTCAGGGGGTCGGGCTGTGGCGGGTAGACGGGTGTGGCCCACCAAGGCAGCTGGGGCTCCCCGGAGACACCCCGAGCCCAAGGGTAGGTGAACTGCAGAGAAGAGTTCGGGAGATATGGTCCCCAAGACATGGGAGATGCAGCTGTGGGGTGGGAGAAGCTTGGCTCCGAATTTCTAAGGCAGCTCAGGTGGTGAGCGCCCATCACCAAAGGCGGGCAACTCAGCGCCGGGCGAACTGACCCAGGGTGTCTGATCCTCGCAGCCGGGTGGGCTCCAAATCTCCAGGAAACACCAGCCAGCCGCCGGCCTTCTTCAGCAAGCTGACCGAGAGCAACTCGGCCATGGTCAAATCTAAGAAACAGGAGATCAACAAGAAGCTGAACACCCACAACCGGAGCGAGCCGGAATACAGTAAGGGGCCACGACTGCGGGGAGCTGGGGGCCAGCTCGGCGGCGGAAACCCGCAGGGTGCTCCCCCGAGCCAGGTGGACCCGCTGACCGCCTCCCCCGTCCTTCCCCCCCCTTCCAGGAGCCCGGGCGTCTCTGTGTGCTGTGGGCACTGACGGGCACAGAATGTGGCACCGGAAGGGTGCCTGGCATGCAGCGGGCCTCTGCTGAGCCCCATACCGGGCACCAGGGATGGGGGTCACACCCGTATAGACCCGTGTGTCCCCATGCACGGTGCTTGTCACATCTGTGATCTTTCCCCCCTTGATATGGTTATTGGACGTAAATCCTTGCTTAGCTCCCCAGCCTTAGCCCAGTGCCAGGCACCCAGCAGCTCCTCAAGAGAGCACACAAGTGGGTGAACGAAGGGGTGAGGGCTCCGTCACAGCCCCCGGCCTCAAGAGCCTCCTTAACTGGGGGAGTTCGGGGCATTGCAGAGGCCTTTCTCCTTTGGGGGCTGGAGTAGCAACCCTGCGGATCTGGCCCGGGCCGGGAACTCTGGAGCCTTGCCAGGCGCAGCCCACGGGCGACCTGGTTAGAAATGCAGAATCTGCCCTGCCCCGGCCTGCCAAATCCTCTGCACTGAACCAGCCCCAGGGGTGCCCCTGCCTAGACCAGCCAGGACAGGTGGGGCAGGTGGTCTCCCAGGACTCATGAGCCCTAGGTCTCACCCATCTTGTCACCTCCTCCAGATATTGGCCAGCCCGGGACAGAGATCTTCAACATGCCCGCCATCACCGGAGCAGGTAACCATCCGGCCCGGGCTGCACGGCCACCAGCCCCTCCCCGCCCCCTCTGCCATCACTGCTGTGCCCTGGGGGCGTCAGGCTGGCTGTGTGGGACCTGGAAGGAGATGCGGGGAGCGTGGCCTTGGAGGTCACTGGGCCCCCGCCCCAGCTGTAGTCACAACACCAGGGGGCCTTTCCTAGTTCAAGTGCGTCCCCTCCTCTGGTCTAAACACCCGGCACGGGGACGCAGACTCACACGGAATCCTGGGAGGAGCCTCTATGTGAAGTTAAATTTCGAGGCCTCCTAGTACATCTGGTACTGTATCAGATGCACACACAACTATTCAGAAACTTCCCTGGCTCATCTGCTGGGTTTCAGATGGAGATTTGAGGGTGTGGACGGGGAGTGGCCTGTGCTGGGTGTCCAGGCTTCACTCAGGATCCACATGGGCATTCTTTATGGACAGAACCTCAGTTTTACTTGAAAATTCGGGCCAGGGAGCTGTGGGAACCAGGCAGGTATATTACGGAGATGGAGTTCAAGTTCACATAGTTTTTAATCTAAGGCTTAAGTCTTCTGTGATATTTGGGACTTGGGGGGCCCTTGGGGTTGGACCCCCAGCCTCCAGTAGGGGCCACACTGTGTCTTTCTGCTGTCTCCGGGGGAGGATTGGGTGGGCCTCAGGGAGGTGCCTCGTAGAGTCTGGTGTGAAGCGACGTGCCCCGAGCAGATTGGGGCTGCTGCCCTCCGTGGGCAGGTCCTGCCCGGCCGGTGGAGGACCCAGGACGTTTGCAGGGCTCCATGTTTGTGCTGTGGCCCGTGGGAGCCTGAGGCCAGAGGGAGCGGGGAGGCGTGCTGACCTTCCGGGGGCTGGCACGGTCCTCAGGCCCTGGCACTGTAGTGAGCCAGAGACACCACTGGATTTTATCAGGGGCCAGCCATCAGGGCCTCCACGTGGGGCCTCCACGGGGGTGTGTCTGTCTACCCGGAGACCAGACACTGGGGGCCTCGCTGAGCCTCAGGCAACGGGGAGGAGACAATTTGGTCGAAACAACAAGACAGTTAGAAATGATTGTTTCCGGAATGTTCCAAATCTTGATACAGGCACTAGACACACAGACACACATACACGCATATGTATGTAGAAATTCACGCAGTGGTACAATGGAGATGTGTGCTAAAACTTGTATGTAAATTGTATTTGACTTAAAATTTTTTTTAAGTGGTTTAGTCCACACACAAATGTTTCCCGGGACCCCAGTCTCTGCCGCATGTCCCCTGCTGCAGACTTTGTCTTTATGACTGAGAGGATCGAGCTTCCTGCCGGCACCGTCGATCGTGACCATGACCTTGGGTAGAAGGCTCCATAGTGTCCGTGATGCTGGGACATTAATCTAACAAGAAACCATCAGGACCCATATTCCTACATCCTTTTTTCCACTTGCTGGTGTTTTCTTAGCGTGCAGGATCGTAAATCCTTTTTTTTCCAGCACTCACCCTGCTGGCAATTCTGTTTTTTTCTCGACCGATATGGCTTTTCGGTTTTTCTTCAAAGTGCCAGTGAAATGTGGCCCAGACGCAGCTAGAAAGGTGGCGAGGCCACAGACGAGTTCGAAACTAAAAGAAAGAAAAGAAAAACAAAACGTAGGCGACAGAGGCTCGCTGCAGAGACGTGGTTTTAGAAGGTGCTGTGTGGCTCCCAGCCTCACAGAAGCCATCGGTCTCCTTTCCAGACGAGTTAGGGGTCAGAGAGACGCCTTACCTGGCCACTTGGTATTCAGACAGTCCACTCAGAGCGGAAGCTTTAAAATTCATGAAAATACTGCCCGACCACAGGCAGCACTGGGTCTGAGCTTCCTCGGAAGCATCTGAAAGCAGAGTCTGGTTTAACAGAAATGCTGAGAAGAGACGGGTTCCCCGGATTTTGCAGAAGTGCCAGAATGGTTCTTGAGAGAAAAGAAAGGGTCAGAAAACCTGGGAAACAGAACAAGAGGCTTGATTAACATGACTTCACAGTGGGTTCTGGAAGGAGCCACCTGGGACCAGTTTGTTGATTCGACCACTTTGTGACGGGGTGGCGGTGGGGGGAAGGGGGGGCCAGGCGGGGCGGTCACGCGATTGTCTCCAGCGCTGCCCTGTCCCCCGCACGCACCGTAACTGCATGGCTGCGACCCTCACCGTCCGTCTCTGCACCTTTCTCCTCGTGGCTCTTGGCGGGAGGAGAGTCAGGCCCAGCTTGGGGGGTCGGCGGGGGCTGAGGGTCCCAGGCCTCGTGGCCGGGGTCATCGGGCGACCGCAGGGGGACCGTCTGGTCACCTTGCCTCCCTGGGTCTCTTCCCCACCCCCCTCCAGCCCCGGGAACCAGGGTGGATCCCCCCACGCCCAATACCGAGCCCTGGCTTGACTTAGTTTCCCAGCGGCTCCTCCTCAAACAGCGCCCCCTCCCGATGTCCCCCATACCTTTCCTCTTTTTCAGGCCACTTGGAATTTTTAAAAAAAGCAGCCCCAGCTGGGATTAGGGGGCAGAGGGGCTTCTGATTCCCCAGAGGGCAGAGCAGGACTGAGGCTGGGGTGGGGGTGGTCTCACCTCCCCACCCCACCGTCCCCAGGAATTCCCAAGAGCGTCCAGGGCCCCCAGCACCGCCTGCAGGAAAAGCGGGGGGTAGGGCAATGGACATGTTGCTTTGCCGAAATGTGCTCACTGTGTATTCTCTTCTCCTCCCCCCCTCTCCGCTTCTCTCCCCCCTCTCTCCGTTGGCCCCCGGCCCCCGTGTGTGTGTGTCTCTCTCCCAGGCCTTATGACCTGCAGAAGCCAGGCGGTGCAGGAGCATGCCAGCACCAACATGGGGCTGGAGGCCATTATTAGAAAGGCGCTCATGGGTAAATATGATCAGTGGGAGGAGCACCCCCTCGGCGCCAATGCTTTTAACTCTCTGAATGCCAGTGCCAGCCTGCCCGCTGCTATGCCCATAACCGCTGCTGACGGACGGAGTGAACACGCGCTCGCCTCGCCAGGTCTGCAGGCTCCTCCGCCTCGGCCCTCCAGCCCCCGCCCCGTCTGTCCCCACCCGGTGTCATTAATCCTCGTGCCTCCGCGTCCCTCTGACCAACCCCCTCCAGCTTTGGAGCTTGTGACTTTATTTTTGTGCGTGTCTGACGTGGTTCTGGGGCCGGCTGATCCCGGGCTGGGCGGGCACCCCGAGCGCCCGGCCCCCCTCGCCCACTAGGCCCGAAGGAGCTGCTGCTTTTCTGAAAACGCTCACACTGCTGCCCGAACCCGCCCTGCCTCCCTCCCCTGCTGGCCGCAGGTCCCCGGGAGGCCGCGTCCCGGCCCCTCTTGTGTGTCCTTGTTCTGGGAAGTCAGGCTGGAGCGAGGGCCCCTTTCTCAGTGTGGACTGGGGGGGCTCCTGGGCTCACAGCAGCCAGGCCCATGGCCTCAGCATCGGCTGGGGCCTCTGTGCGTGTCCACCGCTGGCCCTCAGGCCTGATGGGGTGGACACCAGTGTCTGTGTGCCAGCCCCAAGCTCAGATCTAAGTCGGGGAAACCAGAGGGCCGGCTCTTCCTCTGGCCTGGTCTGTGATCGACACTCTGCATGTCACAGCAAGGGCCGAGCAGAGAGATCTTGGGCCCATTCGTCCGACCTGGACGCTACGGCCCCGGGAAGTTTCTGGACTTAATGGGGGCCCAGGCCTGGCCTCAGGGGTCCTGGCTTCTCTGCAGAGGGCCCCCAGCCTGCCCAGCCCGGCATGGTCCTGGGGCTGTGGTCAGGGTTAAGCTGGTTGCCTGAGGCTTTGTGCTCAGGGTGACAGCCCCTGAGCGGGCGGGTGGGCTGTGGGGCAGCCCACTCGCCTGTAGAAACTCGTCTCCAAGATCCAGGCGCCTGGCCGGCTCTGGCCGTCTGGTCCACCTCTGTGGCTTCCTGGGGGTCGAGCTGCTGCTCTCCCTCTGTGGGGGGCCTGGGAGGCAGGCGGCTAGTGCCTCACCCCCCACCCCCACCCCCACGGTGTGATTGCTGCCTTTAGAGTCCAACGAGGCCCTTTCCCACATGTGCCCTGCAGGTGGAGGCGGCAAGGCCAAGGTCTCTGGCAGACCCAGCGGCCGAAAAGCCAAGTCCCCGGCCCCGGGCCTGGTGTCTGGGGACCGGCCGCCCTCCGTCTCCTCGGTGCACTCGGAGGGAGACTGCAACCGCCGGACACCGCTCACCAACCGTGTGTGGGAGGACCGACCCTCATCCGCAGGTGGGCCCCCGGGGGCGGTCAGGTGGGCTCGCTAAGCCACCCGCCAGCAGGATGCACGCGTCACAGGGGGCCGGGTGCCTGCACTGGGCCTTGTCAGCTGAGCCCTCACTCCCGACAGGGGTCGGGAAGCTTCTGATAGGGGCCAGGGGGAGGCAGGGCGTGTGACGAGGGCTGTCCAGAGAAGAGAAGATGGAGAATTCAGGAAGTGAAGAGAGAGGGTTGGGGGCAGGGCCGGTCCCACAGTGTTGGGGGGTCACGGGGGAGCTGGGCTTTGTTTATGAGGAGCCCTGGGGGGTGTTAAGTGGGGAAGCACATGGTCTAATGGAGGCTGAGGGATCCCTTGGCTGCGGGAGAACAGACCTGAGGGGAAGGGGTGGGAGCGAGGAGGCTCCTGCTGGTCCAAGCGGCAGGAGGCTGGGGCGTGAGTGGGGTGAGCAGAGGCAGGCAGTTTTGAGAAACCTGCCAGGAGTTAGAGGGGTTGAGCCAAGGCCCCCGTTCCCGGTGCAGTGGGCGCTGGGACCCTGGGGGCTGCCCGGCTCACTGGGGCCTCCCGGGCCTCTCTCCCCGTCTTTCCTTTCCGGCAGGTTCCACACCCTTCCCCTACAACCCCCTGATCATGCGGCTGCAGGCGGGTGTCATGGCCTCCCCGCCCCCGCCCGGCCTCTCGGCGGGCAGCGGGCCCCTCGCCGGCCCCCATCACGCCTGGGACGAGGAGCCCAAGCCACTGCTCTGCTCACAGTACGAGACGCTCTCCGACAGCGAGTGACTCCGCACGGGGCGGGGGCGCCAGGGCCCAGCGAGCCGCCGGAGCAGCCGGGCGAGGAGTGGGGCGGCTGCCGACTCCCCTCCCGAGGAAGGAGCCCCTGAGTCTGCCTGCGCGCCCACCCGCCCGCCCGTCCGTCCAGAGCCGGCATCCTTGCCTGTCAAAGCCTTAACTACGACTCCCGCCCCGGGCTGGCCCTGTGCAGTGACCTTACTCAGGGGATGTTTACCTGGTGCTCGGGAGGGGAGGGGCCGGGAAGGGGGCGCGGCGGGCGTGCGGCAGCCACACGCTCGCAGCCGGGGCGGCCAGGACCCCAAGCAGGACGACCACGCACCTCCCACGCCACTGCCCCCCCCAGCGCATTTGGAACCAAAGTCTAAACTGAGCTAGCAGCCCCTGCACCCCCCCCCGCCCCCATCCCGCTTAGCGCTCTGGACACACGGACACAGGCCCTGTCCAGCCCCCAGCGCTCTCTTCCTGGTCCCCATGGGCTGCCCCAGCCAACGAGACTGCTGGAAACCAAGTCAGGCCAGATGGGCGGGCGAAAGGGCCAGGTGCGGCCTGGGGCGAGCGGATGCTCCCAGGAACTGGACTGTTTTTTTCACACATCGTTGCCGCAGCGGTGGGAAGGAAAGGCAGGTGTAAATGATGTATTGGTTTACAGGGTATATTTTTGATACCTTCAATGAATTAATTCAGATGTTTTACGCAAGGAAGGACTTACCCAGTGTTATTGCTGCTGTGCTTTCGATCTCTGCTTACCGTTCAAGAGGCGTGCGCAGGCCAACAGTCGGTGACCCCATCGTCCGCAGGACCCAGGGGGGCGGGGGCCACCAGCTCATGAGCCCCCCTGTCCTCCCTCCCTCCCTTCCTTGGGCAGAATGAATTTGATGGGTATTCTGTGATCGCCATCTGCGCACAGCGGTGGCGTTCTGTCATTTACACACATTGTTCTCATTAAAAAGCAGATTATACTCGAGTTACAAAGGTCTCTTCTCTGTCTCACCAGGAGGGCAGGGGACTGGGGATTTGGGGGACGGTGGGAGTATAACCCTGGAGGGCCAAGGGAACACCCCTAACTCACCAGACTTGTCTCCTTTGCTGGTGAATGTTTACACCTGGGATAAGGGTGTCACCATGAGGGCGTTGAATAGGCACACCTACGGCAAGAGTATTGAATATTTGTACCCGTGAGGAGGGTGTCAGATATTCACAGCTATGGGGATGGGTATCGAGTATCACACGGTGAGGGTATCAAATATTTACATCCACGGTGAACGCATTAGATATTTACACCTGTGGAGAGGGCGCTCACACCCATGGTGAGGGTGTCTAGCTGGCCGTCACCTGTTCTGAACTGTGAGACACTTGGTGTCGTTCCTGCCCGCGTCATGTTAAGGCACACACAGCCCCCTGCTGCCACAGCTTTCCTGGAGTGCACAGCGGAAGGGAGAACACCGCTTGGCAGCGTGGTCCTGGACCCGCTGCCAGCCTGCTCCCCGGGGTCTGGGTATACCGTGTCTCGGGGTGCAGCCGCGCGCTCGCACTGCCGGTCCCTCAGGAGCAGAGCCGGGGCGTCAGAAAGGCTGCGGTCCTTTGCCGCGGGCGCATGCCGCTCTTTGCCTGTTTGGGGTGCCAGCAGCCTCACTGTCACCCTCATCCTCCTGCTCTTTCCGTCTGCGGCCACAGCAGAGCCGCCGTGTCCCCAGCTGCCCCAGTCTGCGGCGTCCTGTCCCCGCTCCCACCCAAAGCTCGACGCCTGCCTGGTCCCGGTCACCTGTGTCAATTTCAGGCCCCGCAGACGGGTTGGGCACCTGATGCTGGAAGGGCATTGGGAGACCTCGCTGCCCACCTGTGCCCCATCCTGTCCCCGTGCATGACCGGGGTGTTGGAGACACGTGGGGAGGTGACAGGCGAGGGGTTTGTGCTGTGGGACCCTTGGTGGTGCCCGCTGCCTGTCTACCTGGAGGAAGAGGGGCTGGCTGCCCTTGCCCTGAGTGCTGCTTCCGCTGCTCTGGGCCGGCCTGAAGAGCCCTGCGGGTGGCAGGTCTCAGCTGCCCCGTAGCCACCTCTCAGCCGCCCACAGCCCCTGGGGGTGTTGCTGGCCTGCGTGTGGCCTCATGCCCACCCCCTTCTCCAAGCAGAGGTCAGAGGCCCTCCACTCCAGCAGAGCCAAGGTCAGCCTGCGTTGGGGGGTGGGGGACCCCCGAGTTGTGTCCTACTCGGGCTCTGCCTGCAGGCAGTGGGGTTGGACCTCGGCCCCAAGACTAGCCAGCTGTGTAGAAGTTGGCTGCTGGGAGATGCGCCTGGCTGCAAGGCCTCGAGCTGCCATGCCGAGTCCTGCTGGGTCTCTCCTGGAGGCAGCCCTGGGGTCCCAGGATCCTGGGACCTTTGGGAGCTCTGAGGAGTGTCAGGGGGGCTCTCTGCCCCTCACAGGTCTGGGACTAAAATGGTGAACCCCACAAGATAGTTTGCAAAGCAGGGCTTCTCTTTGCTCAAGTCACACTAAGCCTGGGGGTCTTGTGGTCTTGGAATCCACCCTGTCCCCGTCCCTCAGCCTCTTGGCCCAGGCAGCCCACTCAGAGACAGACAACCCCAAATACCCAGAGAGGGGCCCACCCTGGCCCAGCCAGCTTGTGAGCAGGGCCCCGTGTCTGGCCAAGGGGACGGTGCTCCATCAGCTTGAAACAAGCCTTCAGGGCTCCGATGGGCCCCTGCCTCTCCCCAGACTCCAGACTCCAGACTCCAGCCTCGCATTCAGCAGTCTAGAGACGACCCTTGCAGGATTTTGGGGGGCAGCGAAGGAGAGAACAGGGCCCCCTGGAGGCAGAAATTGCCACTCCCTGCCCACCCCCCAAGCTGGCGGTGCCCAGTGCCCAGGCCGGCCCAGCCCCTGCCTGCCCACATGTAGACCTGGAGGTCCGAGGAATTGGGAGTGGGGGAGAGGTCTGCCCCGGCTCCCTGCATCCCCCCAAGTTTACCCCGTGAGCCTGGGCCACGAGGCGAAATGAGCAGAGGGCTCTGGAGCCACACGGGGCCTGGCTTCCAGTCCTGGTGGCGATGGCCTATATGGCCTTGGGGACGCTTTGCTGTTTTCTTATCTGTGCGGGGGGGGGCTCTTGCGTCCCCCACGGGGCCCCGCCTTGTACCCCGGCTGCAGTACTGAGATCGGCAGGCAGGTGGCAGTGTTGGGCCAGCAGAGGACCCTGTCCTGGCCGAGGACTCCCTCCTGCCACCTGCCCACCCCCCCCACTGCAGGGGGGCAGCCCCACCTGGAGTCCAGGGTGGGTCAGGGAGTGATGGCCGCACAGCCACCACGGACTGGCCACGCCTGCTGGTGCCCCCAGGATCCCATGGCACCTCCCTCAGCCGTGGGCAGACCCAGGTGCTGTGGGGGTGAGGGGGCAGTCTCAGCCCACATGCTCATCTCCGGCAGCCCCCTGTGCCTGTAACGTCAGAGTTGGCACCACTTGGCACCTCCTTCTGTCTTCTCTGGGGGCCGGTGGCCCAGACCCGGCGCAGGGGTGTTTGCAGGGTGCAGGGAGAGCTCACGCTCTCCTGGCGCCCACAGAGGGTCCACCATCTTCCAGCTGCACCCCGCCAGTCCTCGATTCCCGAAGAGTTCATCCCACCCCATCTTGTTTGGTTTCCTCACTGCTGCATCTTTAAAACGGGGGCCCATGCTGTTCCACCAACCCCTGTCTCGCTGGAAAACTCCTACACACACTTCAAAACCCAGCTGGGGCATTACCTCCTCTAAGAACTCATTATCCTCCCATCTTCTCTCTCCTCTGGGTCTCAGCAAACACACTACGAGCTCCCATGTCTCAAACCAGACAGAACCCCTCGAGGCAGAGATTGTCTGTCCCCTCCTGATCCTGCTGTTGACTGAGCCCCCTGGGTGACTGTGCTGAGTTGAACTGACCCTGTGAGGAGCAGATTCAATAGAAAATCAGGAAGCGTTTTCTAAAGTGAAGGGTAGTTGTTGGCAAATGTCCCCGAGTCTTAGGAAATTGGGAAGCTGGTTAAAATGCAGATTCCCGGGCCCCACCTATGCATGATTCTCCAGGTCCAGGGTGGGGCCCGGGAATCTGTGTTGTCAACAAGCAGTCCAGGTGTGTCTGACGTGGGTGGTGGGCCCAGGGTCCGAGCCAGACCCTCGCCTAGAACCTGGCCCCTTCACTTCTGTCGGGCCAGGAGGTCTCCAGCAAGGGCACAAGAGGCCCTGTAGAAGGAGGCCCGGCCCACCAGCCTGAAGAGCTGCCCCCACAAGGAGGGCAGGAGTGGCCTGGTCCTCAAGGCACTGTGACAGTTGAGCTGGAGCAGTCAGGGTGGCCTCCTGGAGGTGGCAGTTCTTGGGGGAGGGATGGGCTGAGCAGAGGGACCCTGCGTGGGCACAGACTGGGAGATGAGACCCAGCCAGGGACATCTGGGAGCCCAGGGGACTGGACGTACGTCAGTGCGGGGACCCAGAAGTTTCTGAGAAGGAGCAAGCAGATGCCCCATATGGTAATTTGCTGGTTTTCTAAACTCGGTGCGGCCAACAGGCTTGCAAGGGAGCTGGATGGATTGTGAGGGAGAAATAGGCCTGGGAGACTGGGGTGGGGCCAGGACAGGGTTGGCACAGCAGCAAAGGCCTAGACAGCTCCCTGACCCCGGGGAGGGGCAGGCGGCCAGACGACTCACGGGGCAGGCGGTGGGCCGTGTGGTGTGTGAGTGAGTGGGCAGACTGTGGAACCAGCCGCCTGGTCCTGTCCTCACCCTGCCACTTAATGGCTGTGCAACCCCAGCCACATCATCTGAGCCCTCTGTGCCTCGGTTTCCCCTTCTGTAAAATGGTCTAATGATCTTGCTGTGAGGAGTAGCTCCGAGACACACTGTTGAGCTCTGTCGGGTAGATGTGGTCCCTCACCCGAGGAGGGTCAGAGGGCGGGGCGGGCAAGGAACTTGGACAAACGTGGGTCTGAGAGGAAAGGAGGGACAGGGCAGGAAAACCCCAGGTGGCCTGGCAAAGGTGACTCTTATTTGCGTATTTGGGGAGTAAACTGACGGCTGGCAGCTGGGGGGAGGGCTCCCTGGCCATTCTGTCCTCGAGGCGGAGGAGGGCCCAGGTTTAGGTATGAGACGCGTGACAGGCCGTCCTTCCTCTGGGGTTAGGCCCGGCCCGGCTTCCTCATTAGCATTTCTCGCCAGCCACCTCGCAGGGTCACTGGCAAGATGACACGTAAAATGCCGACAGCGCGGCCAGGCCACCCGCACTGCTAGTGCTCGAGTCCATGCCCACTGCCAGGGCTGTGGTTCCGTCATTCCTGCTCGGGAGGAAGAGCTGGGACCGCGTCCAGTCCAGAGGGTGGGGGCACCTGTTGGGGGGACCCCGAGTTGACCTGAGGCCTGTGAGTGTGAAGCAGAAACTGGCCGGGTGACAGTGGAAGAAGCTGAGTGAGGGGGTCAGGGTGGGTGTTGGGGGCCGAACCCGAAGACCCGCCCTGCCCCCCGCCCCCCGGGGAGGGTCCAGTTTGGGTGAGCTGCAGCGGAGGCTCCGTGAGCGCGAATTCTCACGTCCCCGCAGCCTGGGGTAAGACCACGTGCCCGTTGTGTAGACACTTAGAGAACTTAAGTGACATGCTCCTTCTCCAGCCCCCGGGCCACCCCCAGTGTCGGTCTCCCCTCCCTGGGGCTTAGTGAGTGGCGTCTGCCCCTCCGGGTGCTGGCTAGTGCGCGTGGATCTGGGGTGCGGGGCGGGGAGAAGGTGGAAGGGCCTTTTGCAGCCTGGGCAGAGGAGACACTGGGGGGTGGAAATGCCAAGGGCTGGGACGGGGTCCAGACGAGACGGGCCCCTCTTTCTGCCGGTCTCCAGGTCCCCTGGGTTCCCGTAGGACAGAGGAGCTGCTCCAGAGGAAAACCGGGGTGCCCTTGGGGACCGTACAGGGTGCTGTCCCTGCTGCCCACTTCCTCCTCCTCCCAGGTTGGGCCTCCCCAGGCC